GAAGTCGGACGCTCAACCGACTGAGCCACCCAGGCGCTCCATCACTGTTTCATTTTTAAAAAGGTATCCTTTTTGCTTCTTTTTTTAAAAAAGGATTCTAAATTTCATTTATTTATTTTTGAGAGAGAGAGAGAGAGAGAGAGAGAGAGAGAGAGAGAGAGAGAATATGAATGAATCCCAAGCAGGCTCTGTGTCATTAAATTAGAGCCCGTTAGTGCGGAGCCTGAGGTGGGGCTCGAGCTCATGCACCATGAGATCATGACCTGAGCTGAAATCAAGAGTTGGACGCTTAAGTGACTGAGCCACCCAGGCACCTCTCATTTTTTTAACAGAAGACTTGGTCTAAAAACCTGCTATGCCATAGTCAGAAAGGGACTTCCTCTAACATGACTTCCCGAGGATAAGAAGTCCTCCAGCACAGACAGGTTTAGCCCACTCTGCTACAGGCAAACTGGCCCCTCACTGCTGCCTCACACACCAGGCATGGTTCCACCTCAGGGTCTTTGGATGTGCTATTTCCTCTCCGTGGAACGCTCTTCCCCTACATAAACACACGGATCCCCTGCCTCATCTTCCTTCAGGTCTTTGCTCAGACATTATCTCAGCGAGCCCTTCCGTGGCAACCCTTTTAAAAGCTGCAAACTGGCACTCCTAGAATTCCTGATTCTCTTTACCCTACTTTATTTAAAAACATATTCAGGGGTGCCTGGGTGGCTCAGTTGGATAAGCATCTGACTCATTCAAACCCCGTGTCGGGCTCTGTGCTGACAGTGTGGAGCCTGCTTGGGATTCTCTCTCTCCCTCTCTCTGCCTCTCCCCTGCTCATGCTCTCTCAAAATAAAAAAACTTAAAAAAAATTTCATATCCTATATTACCTTCATATATGTATGTGTGTGTGTGTGTGTGTGTGTATAATACACCTGTGTATATATACAATGTTACAATTCAAGCTACAGGGAAATGTGAGCTATAAATGTGTACGTATATATATACGTGTGTATGTAGTGGGTGTGTCCATGTGTATGCATGTGTAGAAACTCCTGCACTCATAAGCTGTTTTTATTACCTCTTTCCCAATCTAGAAGATCCATGAGGGCCAGGAGTTTTGCCTGTTTTGTTCCCTGCTTTATCTCCCAACCTGGAACAATGCCCAGCAAACAGCATGTGCTTAATAAATGTTTACTCAATGCCTCAATATGTAAAATGCTTAAAGCAGTTCCTGGCACACAGCATCAGGTACTTTGTAAAGGCTGGCTGACTGAAATCTTACCAGTCGAAGTAAAAATTTCAAAGGTGAAATTTTACTGAGCTTTTTCTTGAAGGTGCCCTTTACTCAAACTCTTAGATAAAAAGGCAAATTTACCTGAATGTATTAAGGCGAACAATTCATTCCATTGTCTTCCACCTACCCAAGAAAAAGAAAAAGGACTCAGATATTTGCCTAAGCTTTTCCATTCAGTAGACTTGGTCTTACCCACTGATTTTTATAGCTCTTAGGAGGCAGGGAGGAGTGTTTTGGCCCCAGAAACCATGTGATCTGGGCGTAGAACAAGGTGCAGTTAAAGCTGGGGGGGGGTGTCACTGGGCTCAGGGACACGTGTTTCCAGACCTCAGAGGGCAGTAGGGTGTGGCGCTGTGGAGCAGCCAGGGGCTGGGGCATCGCGTCTACAGTGCTGATGGGGCAGTCCTGGGGGCGGATCTCCTTGGCCAGCCGCCCTTTCTTCTTCAACGTGCAGGCCTCCTGGTACGGTGGTGAGATGGGGGGCTGCGTGGGTGGAGTGTACTTGTACTCTGAGCCATCCTCCAGCTGCAGGGACACATGGTGGGGGGACGGTGAGGACCTGGGAACCTAGGACAGAGCCCCCATCCACCTACTGTTGGTCAGGCACTCACGTCCAGTGGGTAACTGCGGTCTGAATCATAGGAGCTCAGGTCCCCACAGGTCACAAATGGCACAATGATGCGAGTGGGTCCATCTAATTGGTTGAAGTCTGGATCTGACAAGCAGGGAGAAATAAGACAGGACAGGGCTGGGATGCCTGGGACCAGTTAGGACTTGGGCTACAGGAAGGGTACAGAGTCTTCCCCATGTATCTACCAGCTACTCTCACACTCCTTCACCAGGAATACTTCATTTGGTTCAGATCACCTCCTTAGGAAAGCCCTCCATGATCACCTGTTCTAAAATATCACCTTCCCCTGCTTTCCTCACACTGCAGTTATATCCACCTGCCATTCTACCATACGCTGCCTGAACTCTGTCTCACTCAAGCGTGCTTAAGTTAAGAGCAGACTCTGTGCCTTTTCCCACTGTGGACCAGGCTAAAGACTCTCTCGGGGCAAAATTCTTATGCAGGGGTGCAGTATCCACCTGCGGGCATGACCGAGTCTTCCTAGGCTAGAATCTGAGGTAGGAGGAATCTCCACTGGGGCAGGACTCAGGACAGAATGTTCACCAGACTTGACAGTAACCCTTAGAGGACCAGGATGAAGGTCCTCCTAGGACAAAACATCCATACAGGGGTGGAATTTCTACCACACGGTGGGGCTAAGGATCATCTTGGGACAGAATTTCAACAAAGGGTAAGTTTCCACCAAGGGGTGGGGCTGAGGGCTCTCCTGAGATAGAAATTCCATAAGGGGGCAGAAGTCTCTCCCGGGAGAGGCCCAGGGCTCTGGCTCTCACCGTATGAGTGGTCCAGCAGGGGCTTTGTCAGGTCCGGAAGGAAGCCCGCAGGGGGGTCATAACCCTGACAGACAGCGAAGGCCTCTGTGGGTGGAAGGTGGAGTGAGGGGAGACTGCTGCCTCTGCCCTGCACAGGATGTGTCCCCAAGACGCGAATCCACCTGCCCGGCCTTTCCACCCCACTGACCTATGCTGGAGTTGCGGCTGCTCCTGGGCTTGGCACACAGCACACTGGAGAAGAAGACACGCAGCTGGCTGTAGATCAAGGTCACATCCCGGCCTCGGAAGATCTGTAGGGGGAGGAGGCAGAGATGAAGAAGGCATGAGGGCGGCCCTCGAGGACCTCTCTTGACCCCTCACCAGGTTCTCTGAGACTTACCTTGGCTACAAAGCAGCCCCCTGGCTTCAAGACGTGTGTAGCAATGTTCAGAGCCTGTGGGTGGGACAAATGGCTAAGGCTGAGGTGGAGACGGGCATGAGGGGTCCAAACTGAGGCAGGGGCAGCCAAGGTTACTCACAGCTAGGAGGAGCTGGGCCTGCATATACTCATCAACATCGTGGAGGCCAGTTACTGCGGCAAGAGGAACAGTGTTAGGGGGAGCCATCCAGTTCTGGCCATCTTCCTGTCCCAGAGAAGTCAGAATGCTAAAAGCATATCCCAGGCTCTTTCACTGCTAAGGTTCTGCTTGCAAAGTAATATCTGCCAACTGGAGGCTTATTTTGACCTCCCAACACTTACTCATTTTAATTTTCAAAACAACCTTACACATAAGTATCATTAATTTGTTTTCAAAGATTTTATTTTTTAAAGTAATCTCCACATCCAACATGGGGTTCGAACTTACAACCCCGAGATCAAGAGTCGCATGCCCTACTGCCTGAGCCAGCCAGGCACTCCTACACGAGTACCATTACCATCACTTCTACCTTCAACCCAGGCTGCTCCCCTGAACGCCTGACTATAGATCAGACTCAACATGTCCAAGACCAGACTCCTGACCTGCCTGCTCAAACTCCACTCCTTACACCATCTTCCCCATCTCATCCGATCCTTCCAGCTGTTCCAGCCAAAAGCCTTAGTACCATACACCTTCCATTCTCTCCTCACATCCACGTTCAAATATTAGCAAGTCCGGTCGGCTGTACTTTCAAAAGATCTCCTGGATCAACCCTCTTCCCGTCTCCACCACCGCTACCACTGTCATCGCTTCCCTGGACTACTGCCGTGGCCTCCTCCTTGCACCCTCGACCCTCACACTGTTCACAGCAGCCAAAGGGATCCTGTTACAACCTGAGTCAGGCATGGCCGTCCTCTGCTCACAACCCTCTCCTGGTTTCCTCCGAGCTCTCATCTCAGTGAAAAAGCCACAGTCCTCATTGTGGCCCACAAGGACCCACACGGGATCTTGCCCTCTGTCAACTCTCTGACCTCACCTCCTACCACTCTCCCCTCACTCTGACCCAACCACACTGATATCCTCGCTATTCCTCATACATGCCCAACACGCTCCTACCTTGGGGACTTTGCACTGGGTGGTCCTCTTGCCCAGATTGTTCTTTCTCCAGATATGCCCTTGACCTACTCTCTCACCTCCTTTAGGTCTCTGTGTTAAAGTCAGGGTGGGGGGGCCTTCCCATCCACTTTACTTAAAATTCCAACAGGCACTTCCTGTCTCCTCCTCCTTTTCATTGATTTCCTCATGGTACCACTCACCTCTTCACATGCTACATGGCTATCATTTGTTTCTTTTCCATATGCTTCCACTAGAACATCAGGTCTATGAGATCAGATTAGTGGAATTTTATTCACAAATATTTTTCCCATGTGTAGAACAGTGCCCGACACACAACGGGCGCTCAATAAATGTGCACTGAATGAATGGCTGACTGAAAAAAAATGAATGAACACATAGTACAATAGAAATAGACAATTGCAGGTGAGAGATGAGCAAAGGGAAGGGGAGATAACAGACAAAACCAAAATGGTACGGTGTGGAGAGAGAGGCAGAGACCAGGAAGCAGAGGTAGGGAGAAGTTACTAGATGCGGGGAACAGCTGAGAGTAGAGGGGAGAGGCAGGGAGTAGCTGAAATAGTGAAGAAGCCAACAGAGGTGGGAGCCACAGAGGAGGACACACACAGGGCCCCCGCCTGGCCTCCCAACCCCTGCTGTTTACCATCGGGAGCCCCGTCGCACACCACTAGGTCCGCGGGGCAGCCCTCAAAGTGCTGGATGATCTCCTTGGCAGTGGACAGCTATGGAAGAGAGGGAGGATGAGTGGTCCCAGGCCCCCTGTCCGCAGCCCTCTTACCCCACCTGCCCACAGCCCTAGCCAGCAACCCTGGGTCAGCCAGACCCTCAGGCTTTGCCGGTCTAAGACTGGGCTCCGTCTCTCGGGACCTAGTACTGTCATTTCCGGCTGTCTCTGCGATGACGACCTGCCGGATCTTGTTTCTCCACTGCTACGCTCTCTCTGGCTTCTCTCAGGTTATGCTCTCTTGCTCTTTCTTTTCCACTCTCCATAGCCCCCAGGTTGGAGGGGCTCTCGCCCCAGATATACCCCAATGCCCCCAGCCATGCTCTTACCTGGGTGATGTCCCCTTGGATCTGTAACACACCTGGTAATGGAGCCATCGCCTGAAGGTCCACAGCTACCACATGGCCGGAACCCTGACCCCTGCAGACAGCATGGCCCATGTCAACCCGGTTTTCACTCCTGGCTCATCCCTGACCTGGCCTACCCTCCCCTCCCGGCCACCCCATCTGGGACTCCACACTCACCCAATTTTCTGGCTCAGCACCTGGCTCCAGCTGCCCGGGGCTGCACACAGGTCAACTGCCCGTGTCACGCCTGAGCACACACAGGAAGGTGTAGTGGTCAGTTGCACCCACCTCCCCAACCTCGAGCCCTGCAAAGTTCACCCCTCTCCCACATTCTATCCATGCCCAACTCCTTTCAAGCACCTGTCCCTCTTCCTACCTGTCCCCTGTCCCACAGACTCTCCACGTCAGCCCACCTACCACAGGAAGCTCTGCAGACATGGCCCACTTGTCCATTCCCTTTGCCCACCCCATCCCCCGGTGACTCGCCCGCCAGGTGGGGACCTTGGAAGAGTTGGAATTCCTCATCAAGTTGTAGCAGCTTGAAGGCACTGCGGGCACGCCAGCCATTCTCCTTGGCCAGGCGGTAGTAGACATCCCGCTTGTCCTTTGATGTCCGTCCCATCTCACGCTGTTTGCCCAGGGACCTGCCAACAGTAAGCTGATGCCGCCCTATATCAGTAACTGGGTGAGTGGGCTACCACCTATTTCTGCAGGGCAGTGAGAACCACACAAACTCCCCATGAGCCCCATGACAGCTCACTCAGCAGATGGGAAAAGTGGAGCCCGGTCACTGACCCCACTGACCTCACAAGGCCCAAGGGACCCCATCACTGAATTCTAAGGCTCTACTGCTCCCTCAAAGATCCCCCCACTCACCCCACAGATCCCCCAAACCCAACACTTCTAGATGACCCATTACTGACCCTGTTGACCTCCCACTGCTGCCACCCATGCTGCACACACTTAGCCCCACAACTTTCACTTTGAACCCTTCTCCACCCACCATTAACATCTCACTGACCATCTCCCCAGCTGTCTTCATGGCCCCTAGATTCACACAGCCCTATCATCCTGCTGTCAATCCCTTGCTTTCACCCTCGTTATCCTAATACTACTTCCTTGTACTCCTCACCCCCTTAATCTCTCTCCACACCATTCCCCATTAATCCCGAAATGATTAGGTCCCCAGTAACTCCTTTATTTCTACATCCTTATCAACCTCCATTAATACATAGAGGATCATGGCCTATTAACTCCCCATTAAGCTCTCGGTGACTATGATTTATCAGCTCCCATTAACTCAGCCCTCCAACTGATCCCTCATATATCACACAATCAGTCCCCTGTAATCCCTTCATTACCACGTTAATCCCTGATGACCATCCATCAGTTCCCCATTCTCCCTCAATGCCCACCTTGCCCCCTCAATAATCATTTTTTTAAGTTTTAAATTTTTATTTCTTTTTTTGAGAGCGAGCGAGCGCACAAGCCAGGGAGGGTCAGAGAGGGAGGGAGACAGAGATTCACAAGCAGGCTCCCCGCTGTCAGTGAAGAACCTGTCGTGGGGCCCGAACCCGTGAACTGTGAGATCATGTGAGCCAAAACCAAGAGTCAGATGCTTAACCAACTGAGCCACCCAAGCGCCCAATCAATAATCACTTGATGATCACACCCAGCAGCTTACTATTACCCTCCCTTTGCTCACTCTGTTCCCATTAATTCCACAATTATCATGCCGTGGTTACCTAAAGCCCGTGACTACAACCCACCTTCAACCTCTCATTCACTTTTCTTTGATCACTGACCCCATTAGTTCCTTGATCATGACTCCCACTGGCCTCTATTATCCCCTCCACTGCTTCACCATTATCCTTTTGATTACTATCGCCTGCCGCTCTTCATGAACCTGTTTAATACCACACGTCCAGCAATCCCTCAGGGATCACAGATCACACCCCATCTACCTCCAATTATCCAATTTCTTTCTAGTTGTCCATTCTACTATCCCTTCGTTAATCAATGAACACACCCCCGCCCCCGTGAGCATGTTGACTAAAACACTCCTATTAGCCCCCACTGATTCCCCGGTAACACGCCCATCAGACCTTCATTACTCTCATGCGACCTACCCGCCCCCTCCGTTAAACAGTCCTCTGGCCACACTCCGGATCTCGCATCATTACCTCAACGTCCATGTCCCCATTGGGACCACCGGACCCCACTCAAGGAGGCTCCGCCGATATCTGGACCCCTGAGCCCCCACCCTCACCCCTCCGTCCACCCCGCACAGCGGTTCCCTTCTAAAGACAAACCTTGGGTCTGGAGCCCACCCGGCACCAGGCGCCCAGACTACGCGGCTGCAGCACGGAAGGCGAACTTCTCTCCTTCCCTCGTCGGCGGGACAGAGCAGGTGTGCCTCAACCGTCTCGGCCTGGACCCCCATCCTCCGCACCCCAGGGCCTACCTTAGCTTTCGGAGTGGGGAGAAGGGGAACGAAGGAGACCGGTCCGTGAGCAGCCCGAGCCTCGGCGAGAGCGCAGACCGGCCAGAAGTCGCAAGGCTGATTCAGTTTGTGTTCTCAGTCAACCCGAATGCCTGTCGCGCATGCCTAAGGGCCCCCACAGCGTGGGGGGCCTGTCATCGCGGAACGCGAAGGCTCCGGCGCGACGCGGGGCCAACCTGAACGTACGACGTGAGCCCCGTCATCTTGTGTCGACGTAGCCGGTCTCGCGGACTGCCGTTCCCAGCATGCAACGGGCAAGACCCAAGCCGCTGAAATCGCGCACCGGGACGCCGAAATGTCGCGAGGCTCAAGAACGGACTCTTCTGTTCCAAGGCTAAGATCGCTTTACTCCCCGCCCCTCGTGTTTTTGGACCGTCGGGTTCACTGGGGACTACATTTCCCAAGATGCAACGAGCACGACGGCACCCATTCCTTTTAGGCGTGGCGCGAGGTGAAGTTACTGCTAGGGTCGCAAACGTGAGAGTGAGGAAAGTGCGTTAATTTAGTGCGCGAAAGCGCTGAAGCCGCTGTGCGCCAAAATTCGAATCCACGTCAGCCAATTCATAGCGCTGCTTCAATTGTACCCTTTCAGAACTTCAGTTTCTCCCTCTGTAAAATGGGGATCACTAATATAGGCTTCACAGAGTTATTGGGAGGATTAAATGCGTGTACTTTAGCACAGCGTCTGTCCTTTTGTAATTCTGTGTTTTTCAAACGTTTTGAACTTCGACCCACAAAAAAAGATCATGCGACCCAGTGCACAAGCAAATAGAATAATGGAAACATTCATTATAGCGTTTACAATGTGCCAAAGCACCTAAAGTGCTCTCAGTGATGTGCTGGTAAATGACTAACAAGCGATTCTCTGGGCGGGGGGAAAGGGGGGGGGAAGCCCTGATTTCTCACATTTGCCAATTTTACATGGTTTCCATAGTATCGTCTTGTCAGATTTTAAATTACCAAAGTGTAGTCACGGAACACAGAGTTCGGAAGAGATGGCGGTAGTGCACCATTATGTAATATTTCTACCATACAGTTCAAATAGGGGTAAATTTCCTCAAGAGCGTAAAGAATGAAATGTAGTAAAATAATCAGGAAGTGACGAGTTTTGAATATCACCTTTTAAAAAAACTAACTTATTTAATTGTAAGTTTATATTATTTCATTTTAAACAATAGCTCTTTACCAACTGGTTGACAGGATTCCTGAAAATGGAACAAGCAGTCTGCAAACCTGTGCTTGGCTCCAGTGCACTGCTGAATTCTTTCCTTGAACTCATTTTAATCCTTATAACAACCACATGAAGAAGTTACTGTAATTATCCCCAGGTTGTAGATATATAGGGAGAATATAGATTACATTAGGTATATAAACATATGTGCTGCTTGATATGTATGTGATTATATAGAAATATAGTGATGTATAACATCCACTAGTATATAGGTTATATGTTAGTAAGAAATATAATAAATATAAATATACTGTTACATGTAAATATAAGAAAATATATAACCTATTTATGCATTTTGTATCATGTACATATAATACACATACCTTATGCATATAATATGTAAATGTGTATGCTGATATATATAAATACGCTGGTGTCTATATACATTTACTTAGTAAAATAACTGTACTAAATTAAACATACTATCGTGTATGTAAATATATAATGTTTGTCAGGTGGTGATAAAATCCATTAATGAATAATAAAGTAGGGTGAAAGCGATGGAGAGTAGCAGAGGATTTGAGTTGCTCTTTTATTTTATTTATTTTTTAAAGTTTATTTATTTATTTTGAGAGGGAGATGGACAGCAAGCAGGGGAGGGACGGAGGGAGGGGGAGACAGAGAATCCCAAGCAGGCTCCGCACTGTCAGCACAGAGCCCCATGCAGGGCTCAGACTCACGAACTGTGAGATCATGACCTGAGCCGAAACCAAGAGTCGGACGCTTAACCGACGGAGCCACC